AAAAAAATTTATGGACATACATAATTATGGACACAACTGTGATTAAAAATATCCACAAAAATGTATTAGTATTAAATCATATGTCTTGTGATAAGCATATTATAACGAGTAAAATAACACTGTAATAAAAGCAGTTATATTCTAAACATCCTGCCACGCGAGTCTAACAAACTGACTATAAGCAAATTAAAGCTCAGCCTGGCAATATTAGAGGTACAAACGAAAAGGAACATGTATCCCAATTCCATTTTTTTTCACTCATGCTGACAGAAAAAAAAAAACAAAACAAAAACAAACAGTCAAAACATACACAATGACACACACAAGACACTACAATATTCCATAAAATAGACAAAGCTATCTCTGCAACTGTTAGTGGTTTCCATTCCTTCTACCATATCTAATAAATGCATTAAGCCCCTGCCAACATTTTAGCTGAAAATTATGCAAAGCATGCTGTAAAGCCGTGTACCTGTTTAAAATATTCTTCGGCAGTGAGAAGCTGTAAAACAAAATCACAGGCATGTGCACTGGTTTCTTTCAGTGTATAACATTTATAACGCGTTTTGGTATATTCTGAAGCAAGCATATATCTTAAATAATTTTTGTTAGATATCTGCTTTTTACTACAAAAATGCTGTCCATGAAATAAGTATTTCCAAAATTAGGTTAAAGAATGTTAGTAAAGAATAAATGTTAGCTTGAGGTTAGAACAACTGCTGCCCCCTCCCAAAAAAAAAAAAAAATAATAATAATAAAGCACTTTTAATACTAATATATTAATTAAAGCAGTGAAAGTAGTCAGCAAAGCCAAATATAATCATAATTCTGTATTATTAAATCAAACTTAACATTTCTGTGAATCTGACAATTGATGAAAATGACAGAATGTCTTTTAGCTGGCTTCAGAATTTACACAGATGTAGTGGCACTTACTTAAAAAATGCTTAAATTAAAAAAAATAAAATATATATATAAACGTATAATGTGAATATGTATCAACATGCCACTGATATATCCCAAACATCTAACTACCTGTGTGCTCCCGTTGGGGTTATCAGCTCTGGTCCTCCTCTTGTGATTATTGCCTCCCAGTTTACGAACCCCTTTCTTAGTTGCCACTTTGGTAGCACCACCAGTCACCCTTGCTGCGCCACTCTTTTCAACATTGACACCACTGCTTTTCTTGTCCAGAGTCAACACTGACGTGGAGTCATCATCCATGTGCTGAACAGTAAGAATGGATCCGTATTTGTTGTCATGTTTTGCCAGTCGACTGGGAGTGAGGTAGGATTCAGAGTCTGGCAGCTGCTCTATTTGCAAAGAATTCATGGAAACAAAAGTCTTGTTGATCTCTCTGTCATACACACTAAGCCTCTCCAATGTATTCAAGGCATCCATCTGGGCTTTAGTCCTTTTCCTTGCTGCCAATGCAGCAATGTTCCTCGTTTTAGACTGAATTTCTACTTTGTTTAAAGAACTGTCAGAATTTCGTCCACTTAGTTTAGGAACTGAGTTTGTTCTAGTCACAGCATTTGATGCAAAATCTTTTGTGTCCATAATGGAGATATCATCCTCTTCTGTAGTGCTGTCTTTGCGTCTGAAGATAAGTACAAAATCATTATCATGGCACTATTTATTAGCCAAATATAAAATATCTTTATAAATGGACCAGTCATAATGAAGCATCATTTATAAAAATCTAATCTATTAATGATTCAGAAAAAATAATACAAAATGAAATAATAGTAATAATAATCAAATTAAAACTCTCTCTGGAGATAAAGATGGTCAAAATTCAATAATTCCAATAGAATACTTAGAACCAGTGTGAGGTTAAAGTGTTCTTACTGCTCTTTGTGCAACATGTGCGCTGAAGATCGTCTAAGAATGTCTCTCTTGGAGTTGATTGCCTGTTGACTACTGCCGTCTTCTTCCACAACAGACAGATGCTCTTCTGAGTTCTCTGGCTCCAGAAAGTGCCTGTTCATGTTTGTTATAGACACAGTCTGAAATTTATCAAGGAAAATGGTTCACTCAATTATGTGTTTAAACTGACCATTCAAGTACAGATAAATATAGAGATAGGCAGGCAGACAGACAAACAGATAGACAAACAGGTTGCACTTTGAGAAGAACATATAAAGGATAAATAATTAATTACATTGCCATTACTTATAGGAATCTGATCACAGTGAAAGGACACATTGCTTTTTTTAAATATAAAGCATTCTTATATTGGAAGGTAAAACAAATATGCATGCACTATATTTGTCATATACATACTTTGTATGAAGGCAAGTTTGATAAATTGTGGGTGGAGGTATCTCTGGAAACTGCTCCTTCTTCTTGCTGCTGCTCCTCATACAAGTCATACAGTTCTTCCAAGTCTTTAGGGCAAGACATCTGGCATTCTGAATTGCATAGGGTACTGTTGTAAATGTACTATCACATGAATTAACATAATATTATGAGCTGCTATCAGGTATTAAAAAGATATGGAAGGAAAATATAAAATATGGAAGGAAAATATGGAAGCATGGAAAAAAATCACCTTTTGGTATTTTTTCTTATTTTTTTCTTATTATTTTTATATCTGAAAAAAAATCTGCAAAGGGCTCAATCCCTAATCATAATAGGTTATAATTAAAATAATTTCCACAAAGAACAAAATTTTAAATCAATTCAACTGAAATACTTCAAATTACCTTCCAATAATGCTCTCTGTCGCTGAATGATTTCATCCCTGAGTGTGCGGCCATGAAGATGCTTCGTGAAATCAACATCTTTTTGCCTAATTTCATGTTCTTTGAGAAACAGTTGAGACTGAAGCTCTATGTTTTCAATCTCCAGTTCATGCACTTTGCACAAGAGAGACAAGATCTCTTTTTGCTCTTCACTGCTGATTTTGCTGGGCAGAATCTGGATGAGATAAGAGATATTAAAATATAATTATAATGGTTTTGTGGCATGATTGTCATTTTAAACCTTTAAATTTTATAAAAGCCAAAAAGAATCATATAATCTTTTTCCATAAATGTATTTCTGTATAACTACTTTTGTAACACTTTGAAAAAAGCTGTTCATGTCCTAAAATTAAAAGAGTAATCTTTTAGAGTGATACACATTATCAAATTAACAGACGACTCGCCAAACTGGCTTCAAAATACACACAGTCTATCACTCCTGATGTTCATTTGATAATTCATGAATTTTCATGCTTGCCCACATGTCAGTTTCAATGTCTGCTTACTTCTTCCAACTTTTCTGCTCTCCGTTTGGCCACAACCAACTCTCTCTCTATGTTGACTTTGATTTTTTCAGTTCGTTCTTTTTCTTCCCTGAGGACCTTCAGTTCATCTCTTGCCACTTTGACATCGTCAGGTTCTGGGGTGCTGGCCGATTCTGCTTCTTTTTCAACGCCTTCTTCATCTAAATGTGAATAAGACGTTACTGGTTGCATTTCTTAATAAATCATAATCCGAAAAAAGAAAATGATTAAAATTATGATGAAATAGAAAGATATGAAAAAATGTCTTGTTATTAACTATCTCTGTTAAAAGATTTCAAGTCTTGCTAATATAAATTATAAATATAAAAATAAACACTGCAGCTAAATCAGCACATATACATGTAAAGAGTTGTAGTTAGAAAATTGTGCCTATGTTTGTAATTTATTTCATAAACAACCCATACCTTTTGAGAGGTCTGAAGCTGAAGCACTGGAATCTTTCTGCTTTCTTGTCTTTTCTGCTTCATATCTGTGAAAGAACAAAAACATCAATAAAGGTGACTCACATAAAATCTGCCAGCTGTGTTATCAAGACTGGAAGAAAAAACACTGCCTTTTCATTAAACAAGATAATATGTTTAGACCCCATTCCCACAGCTTTTAGATCGATCTATCCCTGTGGGGAGTCTCACTAGATTACTGTCAACTTAGCCGGCTTAAATGTCTGTCCCCCCTACTAAAGCTGTAAGGGGGTAATTAACTACCGTGCGTGCTCGGCTGACAACAATTTAGTGTGAACCCCCTGGGAGTTAGGTCAATCTAGATGGATCGATCTAAATCTATGGGAATGCACTCTTACACAACCAAATATTTATACATACATTTATAAAGTCTAAACATTTCTCAAAATCTTATTTTGCTATAAATTTTTATTTAAAAAAAATTTTTAATCTTTCCGTAGCACACTTATAATTTTAAATGCAATGAAGAGGTTCATCACCCAAACTTAAAGAGCATACACCAGTCTATGACTGGCAATTGCATGTGATGGTCACAAGTTATTATTGTAATTATTTTAACTGCTAGTATTTAGGTAACTCCTTGCAGTGTTAATTTTTCAGTATACTTACTCTTGCAGAATAAGTGTGTGTCTGCTGGTCTCCAAGTCTATCTCCATGGTAGAATTATTTATATCCATCAGCCCTCTCCTGAAATTGAATCAAAATGTCTTTAGTCTATGGGATTTACAAGGAGTTTCTTTTTAACAAAATACCAAGATTTTTAGGTTGTTTTGAATGTTAATAAATCAGATTGTTATTTTGTATGGAATGTTTCATATGACAAATATGTACAAGTTATTCAACTGCAAGATGAGATACACCATGACATGAAACAGAAAAGCTTTACTTCCAAAACTAACAGAAATTATGACAGCCAGAAAATTAACTTACGTGTGTGTGTGTGTGTGTGTGTGTGTGTGTGTGTGTGTGTGTGTGTGTGTGTGTGTGTGTGTGTGTGTGTGTGTGTGTGGAGGGGTGTCCAGAAAAACCCACTGTGCTAACTGGATCAATCCAACTCTGTGGGAGATTCTCCCTAAGTGCAATCACTGTAACTGGCTTAAATGCCTGACAAGCCTCCTCGAGCTTCTAGGGGGTAATTAAGCTGAGTGCACACGAAAGTTAATTACCCCCTAGCCATCAAGAAGGGGTGTCAAGTAATTAACCTGACTAAAATGATGGTAAATAAGAGAGAATCAACTGCAGAGTTGGATTAAACCAGCTGGTATGATGTTTGAATCTGAACACAGTTTAAAACTCAATCAATTTGCAGTGATTCCTGACCCATTACAAAGAACTGTTTCAGATAATTTTGATATATTGGACCAGTAATTGTAATATTGTAGAAGTTGTACCTCAAATCCATCTGGTTTCTGAAGCTGGTGATAAGTTGTTCTTTGAGATTTGCCAACTCTGTGTGGACCTCCTGTCTTGTTGTTGCTAGGACTTCAGCTGAAAATAAAGCAATACATAACATTACATATTCAAAATACCTTAGCACTAACAAAGAGGTGGGGGGGGGGGGGGGCAGTGGCGGCTCGAAAGAACCCCACCTTTTTGGCCGGAAAAGGTCCCTTCAGGGTTAAATTCTATTTAGGTACATGAAGGTTTTATGGTAAAAGGTCCACTTTTTCAGAAAAAGAACCCCCTTTTTTGAAATTGCTGGCCTGCTAGAACATTCCACCTGTTGTCATATGCTTACATTGCACAGCCTGAATATTAGCCACTCCACTTTTCTGCTGAAGTTCTTGCTGATCTAACTTCCTCCGTAACCTCCCTATCTCCTCTCGCAGCTCGCTGATGATGCTGGTGTACTGGGCTATGTGGTAACTCACATCAATCACATTCTTCCGCACCTACAAGGTGATATTGTCATTATTTGTTTAATAAATAAATAAAAAATACATGTGACACAGGGTAAAACTGAACTACAGACATAATTGTACACATTTTCAATTCATAACTAAAATAGTTTACAGTCTGATTTTGCTAGATGCTTTGAGATTTTAATGTCCATGGTAAATAATATGATTGTCTAACAGTCAATTGTCTATTTTTTGCTATAAGCCAGTCTGATGAAAACAAGTCTTAAAGGCCCCAAAACTTCTAAAATTTATTTATCATTACCTTGTTCTTTATACTCTTTGCTCTGTCAGCATAGACTAGTGTGTTCCGAGATTCTTCAAAGTTTCCGCTGGCAGGACTAATGTGGGCAATCATGGCTGTCTTGCAATTTCCACCAAGGGAGTCTTTCAGTAGACGAGTCAACTTGCTGTCTCTGTAGTTGACATACTTGGAACCATTTTTGTCACCTAAAGTTCATAATGAAAACTCAATGTCAATGAATACATGCACGCACGCACACATACACACACACACACAAGGACTGGCAAAAGAGATGTACTATGAATGATATTTAAACTGCATTATTGAAAGGCAAGGGCAATATCAAATTCTGTATCATGGTGATATTTTGTTATTGTCACTATTATTTATTATTTCTAATATCAAATACATGTACAGCTGCCATGTGTAGAAATAACAGTGGCTTTCAAACAGTATATACACATCACATTTTTGTAACCAGGAGCAACTGATGGTTGTGATAAAATGTGTAACTGGAGGTTTTAAACTTTTGGACCATTTCACCAAGCAAGCCCACGTCATATAAAGTAACACATAAAGACATAATTTTTCCAAATCCATTCATATCATAACCCATTACTGATTAATTTCAATATAATCTTCAATTGATAATTTGGGGCTCTGTTAGCACTAGTGGTCAAATTTAAAGCAAAAGCAAAATTAGCTCAACTGTTATGGCTACCAGCTGCAGAGTTTCCTTTCACCAAATCAATAGTTTCATTACTGCTACCTATATATTTTACATAACCTCATCAATAATGCATTCATACATGGTTTGACTGTGTTAAACAAGAAAACATTGCCTAAGAAATCACCAACTCCAGCCCACACAATAACTAAAGAAGGTGAACACAAAGTAGATAGGGAGCATGTTGTCCATGTTGAAAACAAGCACAGGTTCATTTTAAAATTAGATCTGAATACAGGCAACTCCATATTCAAGTTTTTCTAGTGTAAACTAATCCCTTTATCTAATTATGGCCTTCAGATTACTGAATTATGAACCAAAACTCTCATCCGTATTTTCAAAAGTGAGGGAATTGCATAAAAATGGATATATCTGAACAGTATCTCAGCAGTTAAGTAAAGATTATGAAAACAATTCATTTCCTTCGCTCGATTGACTTGACCTGAGGGCTGCTTCACAAAAAGTTAAAATTTATTGAGCTTTGAAAAGACAATTAAAACATGAAAGCTGCATGAATATATAATATGACTAGGATACTGTTCTGGAAGTGATTTACAAATGACAGAGCAAAATCTTAAGTTCACATACAAATTTATAATTTATCAACCACTGAAAATAAAGACAATCATAATTTGCTACAAAATCTTAGATCAAAGACAGGAAAATGGGGTGAAAGGCCTTTCACATTCTCTAAAAACATAACTTTGTTGGGTAATATTTTTGCACTCTATGCTGAGGCCATGTTTTGCTTTGGTCATTTATAACACCCCCATCCCCACTATTGTAATTTCAAAACAAACATCACTTAAAGTGAGTGCCTTTTAAGCTGTCACACAGAGTCTATGTATGTACCAATGAAGAGATTAATCACCTCCATTTGTACTACATAACATGACTGGAAACATGCAACTTTTGGTTTCGATGAATAATTTATCAGGAGGAGACAGTTTATCAATTGGCAGGAGACATCAAAATTACACCAAGGAATACCAACAGTTCAGTTTCTACCTGGTTCCATCAGAATAAATATGACGATTGATCTTTGGCCAAGTTCAAACAAATTACAATCACAGCCGACCCCACAAACGTCATCAATGTAATCAGTGTTACAAACTGGACTTTAAAAAAATCAACTGTATCGTTGAATCTAGTCTCATTAAAATTTATCATTCATTGTTCTATACTAACGTAGTCACATGCAGAGCAAGAAGTAATATTATTTTATTACACAACTTCAAGCATGCAGAACCCTTAACATTCATTAGTGCTATAATTCTCTTAAAACTTACTCAGTGCATTTATGCAGTTCCCCAGAGCCAGAAGCGACCTGTTGATGTGGGCTCCTTCCACCATTCGTTTCCCTCGATTATGTGTGTTTGAAGCCCTCTCCGACCCCGCCAAATCAATGAGAAAAAGCTTTCCTATTCTCACTGTATCCTTGGTGTCACGAATGCGGTTCTTCTGCTTGACTGTTATCATGAGAATGGCATGGGATCGTGAAGAGGTCTTGTTGGCAGCGGTAGGTTCTTGGGTTCTCTCTTTGTTTCCTTCTTTTAACAATTCCATAATCTGAAGAATATCAAAATACATAAGCAATGTGGATATTTTTTTTCTTTGGCTGATGCACGATGTTTCAAAGTACAGTGAAACAGTGTCACTTTCATTCAACATGAAATCAATTCTGGTCTTCTCAAGGTTTTTGTTTGCTGTTTATTCACCTTCTTGAAATCGAGTCCTATCCAGAAATATGGACTTTCAAGATGTTTTTTGTCCTTTTGCAGAGTGTACATTATGATGGATTTTTAATGACAATACAATTTTCACATGTTAATCAGGGGCGGATTCAGGCCATCTTCTGGGTCTTCCAGATTTTCAAGTTTACAATGACTGGTATCTAATTTTTTTCTGTTGCAACAAGGTCAAAAATGGAGGATGGATCAACAAAGATAATTTGGAAGACTGTCAGAATTATTTCTGGGTCCGCATCTGTTAATGGTTACCTCTAAGGTAGACTTGGTCATGATTTCTGAGAGGCCAGCCACTTGCACTCCCTTGGCATCTTCACGAAGCTCTAGATACCCTGCAGCAGGTGCTAGCAGGTCACGGATCATCTCGTTGTAGATCTGAAGTAATAATAATTATAATCATATGAAACCTTATATAAATATTACCTATACTTAAAGAAAATTAAACAGTTCATTGTAAAGAAATATAATAATGGCGAAAATGATCAGCCAATAATATATTTCATCAAACAACAAAAACAAGTTCAAGTGAAAAAAAAAAAAAAAGGAAATCCGAAGCAACTGTAAAAAATTCAATATATGATGAATGATGAGTCAGATTGCCACATATGCAGCAGCTCAGGTAATTTGTTACTTCCCTTGGGAGCTGAGAATATCCAAGAACTGCCATGATACAAAATGCCAATTCATGAACTGTATGGCCAATTCATCTCTTAGGGCTCATTCCCATTTAAACTAATGGTTTACATAGATCGACCCAACTCCGTGGGGACTCTCACTGAATGCAATCAGTTAACATGCCTCCTCCTGGCACTGAGTAGAATACAGAAAAGCTGATTGTAGGAATATGTTGGAAATAAGAGGAGGCGTGTTCATCTGATAAACTTGTTGCATTCAGCTTGTTGCATATACTTTGAATGGGAATGAGCCCTTAGCGAAAATAATGGTTTTTAGACAAAAAGTAACATTTTGAAAACTGTAAATTATTATAGACTTACTTCTAGATAGGACATGGTCACTTTGTATGTGTTATCGGACCTCGTCTTCTCCATTGCACTGAAGAGGTCAGACAGAGTACGGTACATTATACCAGGTTCTGTGTCTGTACCAAGCATGGTATATGTCTTTCCAGCACCTAAAACATAAATATGTTATCTATAAGGTATTTTTGGCCACAATAACTGAAACCAACTCTGGTTAAGTATGGTGCACATATGAGTTTCAAAGAAATCAGTATGTTTTTCAGCACCTCGTTTCCGTCTTGTCCAGATAAACTAACATGCAGTCAAGTTGGTATATTTCTGACTGAGCCTAAAAATATTTGGCCGCTTTAACAATTCTAAACTGCACTCTAACTAACCTCCTTTAATGGCAGTTTCATAAACAACAAACAAATCAACAATTCAAAACAGTTTAAAATGTGCCCCCATAATACAGTATAATACAATATGTATAATAATGACCATATTGCTAGAAAAATAATAATTTATCATTAGGCATCAGCTCAACTTACCAGTAGCACCATATGCAAACACAGTTGCATTGTAACCTGAGATCACGTTGTCAATTAAATGTCTTGTGGTAACCTGATACACTTCTTCCTGCAATGACAAAATGAATTGCACATCAGATAAAGCTTGTGCTATGGTTACAAAACACCATTTCTGTTCTCTTTCCCATTTTTTTTACATTAAGTTGAGTAAATTATTAACAAAACAAAAATGTCTTAAAGAAGAAAGTATATATTTCACTTACTATCTTCAAAGCCAAGATTAATTAAGATTATGTTTTGAATGAAATACAATTATTATAAAGGTGAATGGAATACTTGGGGTTCCTTAACAAAATTAAGTTATTTGTTGTTGCAAATCAGCCAAGACTTGTGTTTTATCTTAAATTTCCCCAATTTACAAGTTTTTGCAGCAATATATCTACTAGCCCAGGATGCAACTATGATATGTGCAGCTTACTTTGTTATTGGGTAATCATTATATAAATATAAGTTTTTAGTAATCAATATTTATAGTTTTGATCAGATGGGATGAATAATTCATTTTCTGTAAACATGTATGTTCCTGAGCTATACCATGCCATTTCAAAAAGCAGCTGAGATACAGGGTAGATGATAAAATTTACGTGGTTGATTCAGATCTCTAAGCAACATTGCCTGCAAAGGGTTAAATATCTTAAAATAAAAAATCAATGCAACACCTGATAGTCCATGCAAGATTTCTATTGGAAAAAATAACAATGTGCAATCAAGATCTGCCTAATTAAATTCTTAAAATGATTTTCAATACCCACATCAGTGAAAACATAATAGTGTGACATCCAAATCCATGACCCCACAATCCAATCACATTCTTCCAGTGTATTTCTGATTTCCAAAATTGATTAAAGACTGGGGCCTTTTTGTTTATACATAAACCGTTTCCAATTTCTCACCAACAGTGTTAATACAGTATAAAATAATGCCCAATTTGAGGCCTTTTAAGGAGTATGATAATATCACCAAAGAACAGTTATCCAGAAGGATTCATTATGACAGGTTGTAAAAACAGAGTTACCAAGAAAAAAAAACAGAGTTACCAAGAGTTACCAAGAAAAAAAATTGCTTGCAGTCTAGAGTCTCTTACAAATTTTCAATGTTGAAAAAAAAAGGGAAGCAACAATCCTGAATTTTTGTGTCACAATTCAGACACTGCATCAGTGCCTTAATTGGTTTTCCACTGTTGTATGACTGCATATTACAGTCTTTTTACTGTTTTCTTTCATAAAAGGTGCAGCTAATAGTATTTTACACTCTTTTTTGCAGTCAGTGCACCAATACTCATTTTGAACAAGTGATACAACCTGTTGCTTAAGCTTTTTTGATGATTTTGTAACTTGGTTGTTTCACCAAGCAGATGTGAATTTAATCATAACATCAAATAAATTCTTATAACGATACTATCAAGGAAGTATGTGAAAACACAAAGACAAATCTGTATTGAAATTCTGTAAATAGACTCCTCTCTCTTTTTTCCTTTGCTTTTCAGTTGAATTTTAAGAGTCTGCAAGCTGACTTTACCAAAATTAGGTCTGCTTCCATCTGCTGTCCCTTCACTAGCCCCTCAAGGCATGAATAATAAATGAATGCAGTTTACGTTCCACACATAGAAATCTTTAAGTTGACAAAGACTATTGATGTTTTCCCGATAGAAAAGTATTGTTCTTTGCAGCAGGCACATGTCACAAAGTCCTACCAATTATGAAAATGTTAATCATTCTATTGTAATTCTAGAATGTTAGCCCAGCTAGTAACCAAGCCATAAGTTTCATCCAGAACAATTAAAAGAGGTGCTGGATTACCTGGTTTCACCTGAGTTTATAATTATTTGATGTGAAATGTGAACCAACATTATAAAAGTTTCAAAAAGAAAAACAATAGGTAATAATAAATTAAAAGGCAACTGAATGGTAACTTATGTTAAATTAAAGGGTTAAATATTTTTTCTAATTTTCAAGACAAGGACACATAATGTCACCAAACAGCATTTTTAACACAGAAACGAATGAAGAGTATCTTATGATTATGATGCTTTAAAAAAAAAGTTGCATGAAACAACTGGTCTGAATGGTAGAGAAAGTAGTCCCACTATCAGACTACCACAGCATTCAAAGCTTCATTCCAGCTGCAATTCATCTAGAGCTACATCAACACAGAAAAGCACTTCGGAAATGCCAGTATATTATCGACTGTGATCAGTTCATGCAAATGGATAATTTGTGATTTCTAGTGTTTGAAGTCAACTTGAATAGCACAATAATATAGCAGATGCAACCTGATAGGAGAATTTCCATTAAGAACATGCCAGTGTTAGGGGGAATGCATTTTATCTGTATACACACACCATAGTGATGGAAAAACTCAAACTGATTTCAGCCCATGAAAAATGTCACCTTCCTTAGTAATAATCTGTCACTTTTTTAACAGCTGTTACCAAATCATGTGATGAAAAAAAAGAGGAAAAATGAACTATTTGAATATTTGGAAGTTCTGAATATTTTTCCAATTACCCAAATATTTTTTGAAAAAAGTGAATGTTTTCAAAACATTGTTGCCAAAGGTTATGCAGTAACACATCAGTGAATTTCAAATCTGAATGGCTATAGATTAGCTACATTGTTGGTCCAATTTAAAAAAAAAATGCCATGCATAACCTTCCACTTACTAGAACAATTTCTTTCAAATAATAGTGCTTTGTAAAAATAGTCATCTGTTAGCTTTCTGTAATCATTCTGATCTTTTTAATCCTTCCATCATGATAAGAAAGTGTCTGTCATGTTACTTGTTCATGTTTTTTCTACCTTCATCTGTCTTATATATTTATCTTGAAATATAACCCAAATTCTTAAAAATAAATTTCCCACGTCAGAGGGAATGCCAATACGTATCAATATCTGCCAATCCCATTTTTTCGATACTCTGCTGAGTGCAAGGCAAAATATTATGATCATCGATTAGCTTAACAATCCATAAGAAAGTCTGATCAACGACAGATCAATAACCCTGACTATCTAATTGGATTTTCTGATACATAATGACTTAAAGTAACTGTGAATCGCCCATTAACACAGCATGAGCATTATTTCAGTGCATCTGCAACCAGTCATCAGCTCCTGTTTGATTGTGAGCACTTTTAAGTAGTAGTAGAATAGAAGAGATAAACAGAATAAACAAGGGAATTGTTATAATCAATAATTCATAGGGTAAAGCGTATGGAAAACAGAAATATAAAAGGCTATCGGTGATCCAATTCATGGTTAGAAAAACAACTCTTTTTGCACCTGCTTAATCGCTTATAGATCACTTAATTAATTTGTTTCTATAATCAATAAACAAGGGACCACAAATGTAATGACAATGGGCATCCTTACAGTTGCACTTGATGACATAAGTCCAAGCCCAAAGTTTTGAGGTTTCTTCTGTTTGTTATTTCTGGGGTAAAATGTTCAATGCCTCTAATTAGGTAAAAAAATTATATATATATATATATATATATATATATATATATATATATATATATATATATATATAATCTTCTAACCTTTTCTTTAAGATAATTTACTTTATATTAGTAAGGAGGGAATCCATTACACTGTGTTTAGGGGAAATAAATATTGTAATATACCGTGTTTCTAATATTCATCACTTCATGTAGGGAGAAAACCCAATGTTACAACTGTTTTTACCACAAGAAAAAACCTGCATTTAGCATCAATTTTTGTTAACAAATAAATCACTGATGTTATTTTAAATATCTTCATCAAAAAACTTTTCAAAATACAAAAATCTATGTTACTTCTCAAGTTTCTACAATTATTATAAACAGCCAACTATCAATGCATTATCAAACATAGTACCTTAATATTTGAGAAACCTTCAAAATGTCATAATGCAATGCAAGAAACAATTATGTGCACATATGATACTAATTGACGTAGAATTGTTGGTTCTGGTATATGATGACTGTCTCACAGTCTGTTGTTTCCAAAATGTTAACAATGACATCAATTCATACCTGATTTTTAGGGGGAATGACATATATATCAAATAAACCAAGTTTGTATATTTACCGTTGTAGACTTGTAGTCGAAGGCATGATCAAAGATGTACTTCTTCTCTCTAGAGCGATTGGCTCGTAAAATATCATCAGGATCCTCTGTGGGGTCCATCAGTACGACCATCTGTAACAATAAAATATGTACATTAAGTTTTAAAAAATAAAAAATGAGGAATTATTTAATAATAAAAAATGCTTGTATCATGTCATGAAATTATTTTTTTATTTCATTTTCATTTTTCATTTTGTGCTTTAAAAGGGTTTAAAAGGAAGATAGGAAGAAATATGAAATTATGTAGTCAGAAAAAAATGCTAAAAGGATATAAAATATATTTAAACATTTATTAGATGATATAATAGAAATGTTGACTATGTGGTCTTCCGATATTTATTCTAAGGTCACTGAAGTCAAACTTGTAACTGCGCAAGTTGTAAATTAACAAGATGGCCTCCAGCTTGCATGAAACTTGGGGTAATAGTCCTAGGAAATAGACAACAATTCCAATTTACAATTTTCAAAAATGCATTGTCTGAGTTGGACAATGCCTTCAAATAACTTCATGCTTTTACTTCACTTGTCCTTAGTTGCATTTGGAAAGTTGCCATGAGAAACTGTGTACATCTCGAGGGGAAAAAAAAAGCTCATTAACTGGAGCTTATCAAAACTCCACCTGCAAGCTGTCTGGATTGAAAGGGGAACACTGGGCAATCAGGCTTATTGAGACATTACTCCCATGAGAGTGATTGAAAACCTCACCTCAACTTACACTGCCAGCTACCACATAGTAAAGCCGATTACAGCACTGGCTGTTAATCCAGGGAGAAGAAAGTTTTAATTAAATAAGGTAATATATCACCAATAAGGATAATCAAAATGATTGACTTATTAATCATGAGAAAGCAAGACCACCTTTAGTTAACCAAGGATTTAGTTAGGGTCAAAAAAATTCATTTTTATTTTCCATTCATCCAATCTCTGAATACTCAGAAGTTGATATCTAAGTTGTATATAATACCACAATCTCTGAATAGTTCTAAAGGCCAATGATGAATTTAATAATAATAATAATAATAATTATTATTATTATTATAGAATTATTATAGTCTTGTTTAATTTTTTTATCTGTATTCTCGCCTTTTCTCTTTCCTTTCTAATTCTTTTTTCATACTTTTTTCTGTCTCTCTCTTTTACTTCATTTAATGTCTTTCTTATCTTTATTCCCCGAAAGAGTCATCTTATTTCCTTTCCAAGGTCAATAAAGCTAGCTATATTTAGGAGATATTTTATCAAAGTAAGTATACCTAACGCTTTTAAGCTTACACCACTTGTGTGAAACATACAATCAATTAATTTCCATTAAACCACTTGCCATTCAATGTTAGGTATCTTAAATAGCAAACTCTTCCAAGATTTAATATTGATGCACTTCAGACTCATTCATATTTTAATCTCTACTACTTTTTAATCTCTACTACTTTTAAGTTACTACATTTATAAAATCAAATTATTACATCTAATTTTCAGAACAACTGTGTTTGAAAACAACTTCTCAAACAGCACATTATTATCTCTGTGCTATTCACTATATATGACCCCTAGTACTGATAGTTTTTTAATCTGAAAATAATCTGACGTCAATTATATATAAATATGAGCTACAATAACAAAATTAATCTGAGAGTATTGAACTGCAGTAGATAGTCAATAATTCATAAATTTACAGCCACTTATCCATAAAAAACTGTGTGCTGAATGTTAAAGTGCAATGACCCGTCTACAGAAGTATAATGTGTTTTTATAACATGGGTTTAATTCTCTACAAAAGAAAAAAGTTTTAACAAAAGGAACTTGAAAAAGAATACAGTTTGTGAAGATCTGTGCCATGGTACAAATAAGTTCCTAAAAGCCAACAAAAACAGTGTATACTAGCAGATCAAACACGCCCCGTTCACACAACCTTATCTATGCACATTGGTTTCATAATTTCTCCAAAGCAACCTTTTGAATGACCTTTTGCTAGTCCAATACAGCTGGTCTGTTGACAAAGTTTTTGTCTGATGTTTATGCTTTACTTGCCTATCACCTTTCTCTTTCAGTTACTTGAAGGAACACGCTAATCTAAACATTCACCTTTGTAGGTTTTTGTTATTGGGAAAGTTTCAAATGTATCTACAGCAAAGCTCTAGGTCACTGTAGCTAATCCGAGTGTTTGTTGTTTTTGGTGCCACATGCAAATATCGCTTTGTGTGAGGATCAATCGGGATTCCATAGGCGTACGATTATGGGATTAATTGGAGTCATGTGAAAATGTCCAAAATGATATACAATTAATCACTGCATTAGGAATAATTTTCATAAGTTATCTTTCTGGTAACCAGTGGATGGAGGTAGTATTTACAAGATACATGGAAAGCTTATTTTAATCTTATTAACAGCAGAACTATATTATAATTTCAGGCAAATTCATCTTAACCGACATTGAAAACGATGCTTGTGGCCAATGTACTGCGAAAAAAAATTTTGTAAAGGTCATAAAGGAACTTACATATATAGACATAAGTGAAAAAAAAAAAAAAAGAAGAAATTGATTTTCAACATGAAGGCATCATTACATTGACTCACATTGTTGTCTACTTTGTGTGCACATGTATGACATCCAACCAGTTCCTCCTCATTCATCAAAGGACGGATTCGAAGAACCACCTGTAGAGATAAAAAGAAATCACATCACCGCCTACTGAGAATGACCTTTCAAAAAAACACAATTGATATTTTCTTGACTTGCAACTTCTTTCATCGCCTTTTAGGATGCTTAATGTCACATTACCCATTTCTTCAAGTATGCAAAATATGAATGCAATCTTTAAATCAAATTCTAAATCTGCACTTTAATCTAATTTACTTTTATGTCTACAAAAAAGACAAATTTAAAACAATGAAAAAAGCCCCATTTTGAATGTAATCAACCTTTTAATTCATTTTCACATAAAAACGACAAAACAGTACACAATGAAGAATATACTAGTACCTTGTTTTTTTCTTCTTTTTAATAGACAGAGCATTTAACTTGTTCAGAATATTATTTAATGAGGTCAATTGTATTGAACTTTTAAAAAAGATACACATTTGTAATAATAAAGCAACAAAAAATACTGATTTTTTAATCATGAAGACATAAAAGGAATAGGCTAATTAACTTCCCAATGACTGGAAAAAAAAGAAGAAAAGATACTTTGATTTAGGTATTAAAGTTATAGCCAAGCTCAAACTGAAAATTTAATAATATTTGTTTTAAAATGAAGACTTTTCCTTTGTCTGGGTCAGTTAAGCTAGTCTTATCGAACCCAGACCATTGTGATATTAATTAAAAAATTATAGTTGGTCCCGTCAGAAAGTATATGCCAGCTGGGACCCAATACACATGATGTACAAGTACTACAGTATGATGGATCCAAGTACAGGTAGTCAGTAAACTAAATACCACAGCTTACCATTCGTAGCACAAAAAAAAAACCTGCTAACAGTTTTATTTTCGTTTTTTACCTACTTTGTTAGTTCATAAAGCAGATATAAAATAGCGTAGGTTATATTAGAGAAAACGCATGATTAACCACACAGTTGCGCTGTGCAGACAAACAATTAAGTTAGATTTCTTACCGTTAAGGGGTGTTCTCCGCCGCCTCCACCGCCCGTCATTTTTAAGCTCTTGTTCTTAGATCACAATATTGAGGCTACGTATATTCTACTGAGCTCTCATCGACTTGGTCATACATCATCGAGTAATCGACGGATCGAATGGATTAATCGATTAGTCACCGCAACTTCACAAGTCATGCATGCCTCAGACACGCTGCAAGACTGCGGTTAGTCTGGGTTCTTTAGCACAAGGGGGCACTTCTACAAGCCTAAGGTTCCAGTGACCAATTGCAACTCCGTGCAATGTGAAAATGCACCCCAACGTGGCTGGTATAAGTCCAGGCAAAACCTGCAACAGGAATGCTGTCAGTCCTGACAATCAGACTTCGCTCCACACTCGGGATCTTGACTTCTGATTCACGTCACTCACTAAGGCGGATATCACTCCGCATCAAACTAGCCCTAGTTTTCTCTGTGAAAACACATTTTGGTGCGAGTATCGTAGCATTTAAGAATAGCAGTAATCTTAAAGGAACATTTTTTGTTGAAGAGAATCATCTTATGCCAGTTAGTAATAAAAACTTTATTGGGTCGAATGCGCAAGGATTAATTTATTTTCTATGACGTCATAAAGCGTCTAGCAACAAGATAGTAAATAAACAAAAGACACGTGACAAGTTCGCGTTACACCAACTTGTTTGCTGTTAATGTTGATTACATTTTTATGCAAGTTTTTTTTTTTTTTTTGATAAACTATAATTTATTTCCCCTTATATCAATGAAAATAAGAATAACATAAAAATAAGAATAAAATAAATGCTATTAATTTGTACAATATTGTTTATTTAAAATATATACAGAATTAACACACCCTGGATTATCCCCAGGGCACTGACATGCCTTTCACAGTGCAAAAATAAATACAATAACTATAAAAAACTTCAAACATATTTAGAATATTTAACACTTTTTTCATAGGCTATCATTAAAAAACGTTCACTGTCAGGAATAAATGTTTGGAATTCTTTCAATTTACACTCTGCTCAACAAATGCATGGCTCACTTTACATGCAGACAGCATTTTATAAAGCATCCATGAAATTGCCAAAAATGACGAATGCAACAGTTTCAGATAAACAATCTACTGATGATATTGCATGCCATTTTGTGTAACCATTCCTTGCCAGCTTAAACGCTTTGCTGGCCAAGTCACACATTCACTCATCTGAAGATCCCATCTCCTTGGTATCCAGTAAACATAATCCATTCACACTGACAGACAATTTAAAAACTCATTATGACACGACAATGTTCATGTTGAAAAAACTGTCTGGGTGATAAATGTCCGCTCGGATTGATATCACATTTTATAACACAGGTATTGATACATATTGGGGAATGCTGTTTCATATCTCTTTATTCAGCGCTTCCTTCTTCTTTCTCTTCTTCAATAGGAGAAGCCTGAAATAATTAAATATATTCTTACTGTCTTTTTTATGAAATTTTATTCCAATTTTTACCCCTTGCTTACAAGAATAACTTATCTAAAATTATTTAAGTGAAATCACTAAAACAATACCAAAATGTACTGCAGGTATATATATATATTATTTATTTATTTATTATTATTATCTTTTTTTTTTGGGGGGGGGTGTCCTTCTACAATCTATCATGCAAAACAATTGTTACATTCAAATAAAATAAATTAAAACACCTGGAATCTGTATCAAAAAATTCTTATTGCCATATCTGGTTAACATACCTTTCCTTCATCAGCTTTTTCTGCCTGCTGTTGTTTCAATGCAGCTTCTTTCTTTTCCTTTTGTTTCTGTTCATATTCTATTGTCTCAAAGAATTCTCTTTCGGCTTTGGAAACAAGATCTTCTTCTTCATATCCTCCTTCTTCTTCCTCCTATAAATAAGTTTCATGTCATCATGTATACTATTGTTTATTACACTTTTAATCCTACACATAAAATGTAGATGTATTATACAAATGAAAATAGTTTTTGTCTTTACTCTGCTACAATTCAATAAGTATTTTTCAACAAATGAAAATGACATAATTAAAAAAAGATATTTCATATGTACTAGCATATATACAGGTTACAATCACTATGATAATCACATTATTGAAAGAATTGAAAAAATTTAATCCCTTCACTTCAAAACTGACATTTGCAGATATCAGCATCAAACTCCCACAGATATTAAACCATTAAAACCATCAAAAATACCTGTTTATGTTCTCCTTGTGAACTCTTCTGCCTTTCTTTGAGCTTCATTTCCCTGTGCCTGGCATCCAATATCTTTTCTCTCCTCGTTTCTCTTTCAAAAATCTATGGTGTGATGAGAATAATCATTTTTATTAACAACCAATACAAATTTAAGAATGGAATCATTATCAATATATCATCATTTTCCAAAGGTAGATAAATTGCATAACTTGTTATTTCAGCTCACAAAAATCCTTTGGAATCAAAAACCAAGTTTTTCTTAAAAAGATCGAATGACATCAATTAAAGCAATCACATCACTACAAAATTAACATCAACAAATTGGCAATTAGACTTCACAAGAAAATAAAAGTAAGCAGGCAACAAAAACACTTACAGCATTTACGAGAACTTTTTCATTCCTCTGCAATTGCACTAGACCATTAGAGAGTTCCAGCAGAGTGGTGGTGCCACTGTGGGACCCTGTAGCCACCAGCCTGCCCTGCTCTTGCACTCGGACACTGTGCAAAGCTTCATCACACACCTGACGGGACACAGGAGAATAAAATGTTTACAAGTGACATCTTTTACAAAGCAAAAGAGATTTCTACAAAAAATATATTTGATGATATATCAAGTAGCTTTGTTTAGTTATATGAACTGATTACTGACGACTAAAAATGCTTTTGTGGGTCTTTATCACTTTTCATTCATAAAAAATCAACACCTAAAAACTTATTGTGCTAAAAATTAATACCTTTTCTGTGATAAAAAAAAAAATTGCATTTAGTTGACTTTTTTTGCAGTTTTTCATTATGCCAACTTTAGTTTGTTAGATGCTTGGCAATATGATTCTAATTTTCAAGCCAGAATGTTTGTATCCAAGAGAAAGAGTGATTAACAATTTCACTTACCTGAATACTGAGCGTAGGATCATTTTGTTTAAAGATGGTGTCCCATATGTCAAGTGTGCCATCCATCTTAGTGGTGAAAAACACAGCAGGACGTGTGGGACTCCAGCATCCATCAGTCAAATAGGACATATGGTATCTGAAACATGCAACATTTACTTCATAAGCAACATATAAATGAATTCAAAACTAAAAGTATGCATACATGTACACAGTTTTTGTTTGGAATAATAGATGAAAATTGTTTGGCAAATAAAAGAGGGTGCTTGGTTGCTAATTGGCTCATAATAATAATAATAATCAAATAATTGTGACTTTGATTATGTTCTTGATAATTTAGTCATGATGCCCTATTATCAACTTTTCACTCACTCAAAAAACACAGATATTTTCTCAATTTATTTATTTCAGTTTGAAGGAAATTCTTTGCAATCTCCTGCCATTAAGAGTCTATGTGCATGATGTCTTATTATTATTCTACAACTCACTCATATTTATTATGGCACTTTTAAGTCATATGAATTTAATAAATATCAAACTTGTTTTATTTTGATACGAAAACCTGTTTGTCTATAATGTTGTTTACATACATACAGGATAATTTGTATAATACTCACTTTGTCCACATAATAGATGATTCCCTTATATCTTCTGACCATATCTGAAAAGAAAAAGTTGAGTGTGAATCAATATCATATTCATAATATATGTAAATTTTTATAAAAAGTACAATCCGTACAAAATGTTACATTTTGGAACAATTTTATTCATTTAGCGTTTCAAACTCTAAAAGATATTTGTCTCTTTGAAAAATATCAGAATGACAAAATAACTAAAAAAATTAGACACAATGTCTACCTACCCTTGCTGTCCAGTCACCGACTGTGAGGAAGTTCTTAGGGAAGAAGGGGTTTCTCTGGAGTGAATACACTGGGCCATGGTGACCTGGATAAATGGCAACTATCTTTTCAGCAGGGGTCTTGGCTTTCCTGTTACAGGACATCACAGTTCCTATCTCTGTTCCAACCATGAATTTTGTTGGCTAAATAAAAAGGGGTGGGGGTCATAAAAATGTTTCATCGTTACACTAAATTACAGACCGATTTTTAATACTTTACATATTTTTTTATTCTAAATATTTTACTTTATGCATACTTATTTTATATCAACTGTGTTCTCTTTTCAATATGTCTGAATGAAAATAGAAAAGATCAGCTTTTCCTGTTTTTCCAAAAAAAAAAAAAAAATAAAAAAAAATAAATAAATAAATAAATAAATAAATAAATTCCAAAAATGAGGTAATATGTTTTATGTTTCTATTTACACACATCATTTAGCCTGTGCACTTTGTTACCTAACTTTCAAAACTTACAAGTGTGGGCTCATACTCCAAACACATGGCCCCCTGGGCTTTGCTAAAATCTTGTTTCTTGGTTGGATCTAAGTACAGTTTCTCAAATGGCTCTCCCATCTTCCTTGTGTCCCACCATAACACCTGCCCATCTGAAGATGTGGAAAAACATTCTGTCCCTGTCTTGGACTGCAGCCAAATTGTCTTGTAGGCTGGGTCCCTGTGACTGTGTTCAATGGGGGAGGTTTCTACTGGCTGGGAGCCTTTTCTAGTGTCCCAATATGCTGAAAGACAAAAAGAATTGAAAGATTTTAGTCCTGAGTACACTATTTTAAATTGGTACTTGCAGCAGAATTATATTAGAATATGAAAAGAAAATGAAAATAAGAAATATCATTTTAGTTATTTCTAAAATACCCAAAATGAAACTAGGTAACTGCTGACTATAATAACACATCGTGTTTTAAGTGCTGACATTTGGCCTAAGTTTTGGCAAACTCCCATTTATTATAATTTCACAATTTTATTACAGTCTATTAGTTTATTATCCTATGTCAAATTACTTCAAAGAAAGCATTGCTTAGATAATAATTGTCAACAGAATAAGGCAAGTCCTTTCCAACTGTTTTAATAAAAGTGGGTAAAGCTGACCATATGCTTACCAATCTGACCATTGTAGCAGCCGCCTACCAACACATGTGCATCTTTTGGATTGTATTCGACACAAACTAGAGGAGATACTGGTTTCAGAGTGAATTCTGGTTTGTTGGGATTTTCTGAAAACAAATCAATCTAATCAAAATATATCTGTACAACATGATGCAGTCTTCTCATTTTACATGTCATCATCACATATTGTAAATGGATGCATCAATATTAAAAAAACTTTTTATACATTTTCAGCACAGAATAAATGACAGAATCTTAAGAAATTAAAAAAAACTAAAAACATAGAACTTTCACAGAGAAGATATTTGGATCAAAACAGTATCCGTCCATACTAACCCACATCCCAGATATACGAGTCCATGCTAGTATCTGGGGAGGACCCTTGGAACTCCAGGTTACAGTAAGCTATGGCCAGCTTTCTAGGACCATCAGGGAACCAGGAGATGTGTGTGCTGGTACGCTTGGGATCACAAGGATCTCTGCAAGAAGCGAAATATGATGAAAACAATACTACTGGCAATGAACAGAATTTTTTGATTATGGCTTTTAATTGAGCCTGTACATTATTGTTATTATTATTATCATCACCAATGCAAACTGATAATCATTCTTTCAAAAACTGATTCTTTGTTAACTGTTATATGCAAATACCTGATATAAATATACACTTACTATTTGTAATATATAACAAAAATATATATATATCTTAAGTTCTAATAATGCACATTTTAATTGCAAACTAAAGTGTGCCTACCTGAAAACATTGATTGTTTTGGCTGTTGGTGTTTCATCCATATCATCTACATCAATATCATCGAAATATTCTTCATAGATATCAATAGCATTGTTTTGTTTGATGCAATGTTCCATCACCTAGAATTTTAGAAGCAAATAAATAAAGTATTCCTTTCATTAAAAGGTCATCACCAAGGCTTTCCCTAGCAAACCATCCAGTTGTCATTTGGACAGCCTCCTGCATCACCGGACGGCCAATATTTTCAAAGACGGCTGGGCGGCAGTTATGATTGTTTTGAAATATGATGGCTTGGACTCCCTGAAATTTCGTAGGAAATTACAGGTGATAATTTTGGAAGACCTGTACCCCCAATCCTGGGAAAAGCCTTGGTCATAAGCGACATATTGAAAGAGGATTCTTTGAGAATTTTTGCTGTCTAAAATTGCACAGATTTTTTTTTTTACAAATTTTTCCTTAATCAAAAACCTATTCCATCATTATTCAGAAATAAAATTACATTGAATCCAGAGCAAGAAAATTATTATAGGTTGAATTATCTGGCTCAAATTTTGGTATTACACTTTTTTTTCCAAATTCTGTAAAAATTAAGCTCATGTTATAATGGTTGAGATTCAATTCAAACAATAACTTACAGTGCTGAGTTGTTGAATAGTGTTGATGTACATCTCATCCTTCTCCACTTTCTTTCTGTATCTTAATACTTGCTCTACTTCTTGTGGATTTACATCTTTGGGCCATCCACCCTCTGTGTGGTTGATTCCTCTTACCTCTGTCTCAAATCTTTCTGTGTTGATCTAGAAAGAGAAATTGATTGGGAATAATTAATATCTTAAATGCAAGTAATAATAATAATAAAAACAACTTTTTGTCTCTCAGTTTACTTTAAATGAATAAAACAAGAATGCATATATAAGAACAGGCACATTATGAAACAAATTTTTTACACCAATTATTATTGACGTTTGAATTGTAGCATTATCTAAAACTCCAAAATGTTTCAAACAAATTCATGCCTGTTTTCAAATTATTTTATATAATATTGCTAGCACAACTCTGGCAATAAAGTCAGATAATGACTATTGCTATTTACAAAGACACAATGCTATCTGTTCATAAAAATAAATAAATAAATAAATAAATAAATAAATAATGTACATTTGACAAGTTTTAAAAGTTAAAAATACTCATTCATGCTTAATGCTTATCAGTTAAACATACTTCATGTTCGGACATCTCAGCAGCACATTGTACGGAGATATCAACCGGGTTTCTTTCGATGTAATTCTCTGACTCCTTCGGGTCTGGCAGGATGTCAATGTGCAACTCTGCTTCTCTGTCAGAGAAATTACACTGCCGCCCAAACTCTGCCCTCTTCTTCGTATAGACATAAACAATCTCCATCTTGAGAGTGTTTGATTACTTATAACCTAAAATTGATAGAAAACGACAACCCTTTTCAAAACAATCCAGTGAAATTGCAAACTGCGGTTGGAATAGAATTCAACTTGGCTGAACGAGTGCAGGAAACATAACGTTAATTAAACAAATTTGTGTAATAATTGCCTTAAAATTACATTTTTTTACCAAAAATGGAAGAGGTTGATAGAGCCCGTTAGTATATTCTAGAAATAAAAATGCATACCTGCAAAATATATTAATTATTCCACGTTCCTAGAGCTGTGTAACATGTACGATCAAAAATGGCGTACCAGTTGCTATGGATCTAATGCGCATGCTTAAAATGAAGTCAATTTCCGTTGAGCACCGAAAGCACAATAATACAAAGATTGTTTTCGTTTTGAAATCTGTTAAAAGACTTAGCGTTTTTTTATTTGGAACATGATGTAAATATAATAACTTTGTTAACTTAACATCTAACAGTACAATGCTGAATTATAACCTTTGAATAGCTTACCAAATTGTATCGAATTTACCTAGACCCCCAACTGTCAAATCCAAGATGTCAGCCTCCATAATAGAAAATGTCTTGAAACAGTCTAGGTATATTTTGCTGTTTATCATGCATTTTGTCTGCGCTGCGGAAAAGATGTGTCATGCTTAATCTAAAACATGTTTTACCTGACATGTTATCATGTTTGTTTTCTTGTGTTCGTTCTCTGTGTTATCTGTTTCGTAGATAATATCAAAAGGGGAGGAGCAGTTGAAATTGTCAAATGCAGTAATGAGAGATGTGGATACTGGCCTGTCAATTTGTCGATGAGTTTAAAACTAAAACAAAAATACCACACCGGGCAATCAATATAGAAATAGTCAATTAATAGTCGCTGAAGTAAATTAAATGGTTATGATAACCGTTGGCCAAATGCAAATATACACTTACAGTACTAGTACTTGATTTAGTTTCAGGCCTTTCTCAGTCTCCAACTAGTATCACTGTCACAGATTGAATAAAAGTTTGTGTTTTTGTAAATTATTGGTATATGCCATGAAATGGACTTTGCTAAAGTTTCTTATAATTTACCCTACCATTAAAATGAATGCAGGCTACTCGTAGATGTTCTTTGAGGTAGTGCATATTTAGATTCATGGAGAGTGTTTGTCTGTTTTTGGCCTTACATCCTAGGTACCCTTACTATAGGTAAGGTTTCACTGCACATGTGCTGATACTACTACTGTATGCCATTGGTATGAATCTTGCTTATCTTGAGGCCAGTCACAAGTTTGCCATTGCAAAATGGAAAGTCACTAACAATAAGTGGTGTGAACAGCACAGCTATATAATTGAAATAGAAAGACCAAGACTTTGTCAAAATGGTGCCTGAATGGACACAAAACTCTTTAATTTTGAATTATATACTTAAAGGTGTGGCAGAGAACAAAAGTATTGTCAGGACATGGATATTTACAGCCACTTCAGTCTGAAATGCTAGGTGGGGTGAGACCTTACCTCCGGCAGAGGCACTAGCAAGTAAGGCCAAAAACTGAGGCAAAGTCATTGTGCTGAGGCAAATATTTTTGATCTACTAATATATGCATTTTTTTTGCTTACATGTGTACCTTTACAAATATGTTGGTTTTAAGATAACAGTGTATACTGCTGCTGAGCTTCCTAAGTTTATCTTTGCAGGGGTTATTCACAACATGACTTGAATGATTTTTGTGGCAGGATACAGACAAACACAGTAGCTGATATAAATGGGGAAGGTTTTATCCAAAAGATGCGTCAACTTTACCTATTACTTCACTGTACAAGATACAGACGAAGGCAAGTGTTTTATATTTCATTTTAAAATTGAAATTCATTGCAGGTAGAATACAGAAACTTCCAAGGCTTATTTACGGACTAGCATTAAATCTTTTGTGGTGTGCTAGATTGAGTAAAGGATTTGATTGTCACATCTACATGCAAAATTATTTTCAGCATTCCCCAAGAGCTGATTAACAAACTCGTAAAGATATTGACAGATACAGAAGAATGCAGTTGGCGAAGTAGGGTTATATGTGTAGCAGTTCTTGCAGAATTAACACCTTGTGAAGAAATCAAGATTTTTGATTTCAACACTGGATCTAAGAATGTGCAACTAGCACAAAGTTTACAAGTTATTGCTTCTCAGGTAAGATTGCGTTAACATTCACGAAATTGTCACATTTTACTTACTAGTAGTAGTAGTATTTGCCTGTGGATATTAAGCATGTTGTTTAATGAATTAAGTACTGCATTTAACGTTTTTTGTTTTTTTTATTTTTAACTAACTCATTACAATATTCTGTAGGATTGTACTAGTCTTTTCATGCTAGGGACCAACTTTGGGTGATTTTGGACAAATCATTCCTCTGATGGTGAGGTAAGTTCAAATATTAGTTTCAAACTTTCACAATTTGGTGGTGTAGGGGGAGTGATACCTTAAACTCAAATCTGGGAAATGTTTAGAAAAATATATTATTGTCCAATTAATGATTATGTATGATTATACCTGAGATCTTGGACAATATTTTATGTTTTGTTATGTGCATTTTTAATGAAAAAAGTTGTTTTTATCATTTGCAGATGGATTTCTACAGTTGGTTTTGACCATGATACCCAGATCAGAGCTCTTCTTTTCATCAACCACATAGCGGCATTACATCAGCAACTCCTCACTGAAGGTAAACCTTAATTATTTTGATTACTACCCTGATAGTATGAATTATTTCCTTGTTGTAATTCTCTAAATTAGCAGGTTGGTAAATATTTAATGTGAAAATTGATCTTTTTGAATTATTATTCAGGCTAGTAGTGAAATTTTTTCAATTATACAAATTATACACTCAGTCACAAACTCGTTTATAATGGTTGCAAAATTATTATTATTATTATTTTTGTAATACATGTAAATGTAAATTTTTATTTATTAATTGAAAAAAAAAATGGACACATGAATTGATGATACATATTATTTCTAGATCAAGTTCATGTTGTGAGCTCCCAGATAGCAGATTGGTTGGCGCATGCCAGCGTGACGCAGTCCCCAGACCCACGCTCTAGACACCTGTTTAAAAAAGAAGAAGAGCTGATGACAGAACTGGATGGAACTCCATCAAAAGATCAATTTACTGTGTTGTCTCTGGGTAAGATAGTCATCTAGGTGACAAAAGTACCATTCAATTTAGAATTAAGAAATGAATAAAAGTTTCATAAAATATTGGTGTAATAATGGGAAATATAACATTATAAGGTATACATTTGATGGTGCTCTAATTTGTGTTAATTTATGTAAATTTGGTATGTGTTCTTTATACATTGCAAACAATAGGTATTTTCAAAGGAATTTGGATATGTTTTAAAAGTGTTTCCAAGCAGCATTGTATGCTAAAATATTTCACGAAAACTATATAGAATTCACATATTCTCATGACACCACAACTCACATAGTCTTTTTGTAACAAACATGCAGTTTTTTTGTTTCAAAGTCATCCTCTTGGCATATTCAGTGCTGAAGACTTGATAAAACATGGGTGACAATTAAACTTTCCTCATTGTCTAATTATAGGAAAGTACTACAGTTCTGATCAGATGTTGAATATACACAGTTTCTCAGTGCTGCACACTTGGCTGAAAAACACCAGTAGGGCAGGGCTGTTCGTTACCTCTGACACCTCCAGTGCAGAGGATTTAGACTCTTCTATGACTGATGTATCTAGCAAGCATATACTGATTGAGAAGTCACTGGACTATTGCTTTCGACTTCTAGACCAGTGTGAAAGAAGTAAGTGAAGATGTGTGATTTTTAAAAGTATTTTGTGTAGAACGTGAAAGATTATTTGAAGGAAATTATTACTTTTTCAAGGTTTATTATTCTATTGGAAGAAGTACTAGTATGGTAGGTAAGTCCATGTGCAATAATATGTCTTATCTGTAATATTTTAAACTCTGATATATGGTTTTAAATAAGGCTTATTGTTAAAAAGTGACCCCAATAAAAGTCTTTTAGTTGCATGAGTAGTCAATGTCATTGTGGTTTCTTTACAGAATTTTTTTTATAATTTTTTTTATTGATCTTAGGGGTCAAGCAACCAAAGGATTTATCTTTGCAAGAAGGTGTAAGTTATCTTAATAATGGTGTTCAGTGAAAAATGTGGTTAGTCATTCTTGCTGACCTCTATGAAGTATATCCATTTATTTTTGTGAAAATGGAGCCTACAGTAGCAAGACAGAAAAAGCCATATCATCAACCATGGCCTCAATCTCTGTAGAAACAGAAATATTAGAGAATAGTAGCTTTTAAAAAGTCTTAGTTATTTATTAAAGGAACTATTTAGTAATGAAAATGTATAAGTTCTGTCCAAAGTAGATTTATCATAAATTCTGAGGATGTTTTTATTTTATAATATTTGATTTATATTTAAAGCAAATGAGATGAACTTCATCAATTTTGTTTCATTCTGAGGAGAACAAGCTTTAAAATTCTATATTTCACAGAAACTTAAACAGTTGTATCACCAGCCCTCTTAAATGTACTTTGTCTAGTTAATGTTAGTACAGCTACATATTTTGAAGTCGTCAAATGGGAAAATGATTGATGAAAATACTTTGTCACAGGTGCTAATTGAGGTGCTGTCAGTCTTAGACTGCATATGCCAGTTAAAGCCGGGCCACGTGACCAGGGTGTTTACATATGCACAGAGACTGTATGATAGAATAGCTAATGATGCTGCACAGGCCAGAGTGGTGCTACAGATTATCCAGCTCTTCCTGAACCATGGTAAACACATTTTTAAATATATGAAATATTGTAGATATTGTATTGTATTGTTATTTATGTAAAAACTTTTGTTTCATTTTTAAGCCCATGGATTGATAACAATCCATTTTAAAACCAGAATATCAGTTTGGCTATTGAGAAACAGTTTAGGATCTGTTATAAAGTTAATTTTCAGTTAGGCACAATCAATGGGGAAAATGTCCATGTTACAAAATATGGCATCCTACAACATGTTTCAAACATTGTGCTAACTTTGTAACACGGTACTTAAGAATTGCCATTTCTGTAATCTTAGAGTACTGTGAAAATGGAACTTTTAAAACTTGTTTTTTTTCTCCTAGGAGACATAGCAGGCTTTAACTCAGACTCTGCCTTAGAGCATTACTTTGGAACCATCTTGGCAGTCAGCTTTAAGCATCCTGCAGTAGCCTTTGATACAGTCCTGTTCATCAGGGAAAATCTTGAAATACTCTGCTACAAAACAGATGTGTTGAGCAAATTTTGTCCAAATATATTAAAGGTATAATGTACAGTTGTAAGTGTTTTAATAATCATGTTTGTTTTACACTGTATGAAAATGAACTTTAAAAAATTGCTCCAGCCTCATTAAATAGAAGTTTTTGAATGTTCTCTTGGTGCAATTCTTGAAACATAAGTTTGTAAATTTCCCGTCTCTGTGGTATTTGACATGTGTGACAATTATTTTGAGCTCTTGACAATTATGATTTGTTGGTTTATTTTATAAAATTGAAAAGTTGATTCTAAAATAGTACTTTTATATTTTTGATGAATTTAAAACAATGAAAATTGTTCATACTCTATCTGTCTAAAGGGATAACCAATCTTTTCATTGATACATATTCAATTTTTTAATTTTCTAGATCCTAGCATGGAACCCAAGAAGCTACCTTACAGAATTCATTGATATACTTCCAGCCATGATAACACCATCAACAGCATTGGAGGTAAAACTATAGCTACACATTTTAACTTGATTTTACCCTAAATTTTTAAAACATCAATAGCTGAAAAATGACTTTTTTATCCTAATTCATCCACTTATTATTTTGGCAAGATACATCGTATAATGGCCTACTCTTTTTAAATTGAATTGGATGCATTTCATGAAACATGAGCAATTCAAAATATTCTGAAAAAGGAAGCAACAACATGATTTTAGTTTTTATCAAACTGATCACAGATCCTTTGAGCATCATAAATTAATATACGCATAGTTAATGACAAAGTTTTAAAGATACCTTTAACCTTTGTTTGACATATAGATATGGCATTTCAGATAGTGCACACCTTGTTAGACCTTGCTTGCATGACAGCAGCAATAGAAAGTAGTGGCAAGATGGAAGCTAGAGACAGAGAGTCCATGGAAATGCCATCTGTTGCTTTAGAGAGGCTGAAGGAAGTTAAAAACAGTCTGCAATATAAACCATATTTCAGTTTTATTCTGAGGAATGAGAGTGGACATGGGGACACAATAAGCAAGTATGTCTTGATTATTTGGTCTTATGTAGATCTTGAATAGAAAGATATTAAAACCCTTTCATCTTTATCATGTTTTTCTAAATGGTATTTTTTCAGACACCTGTATTATTATCTATTGCTTAAGATTGTTCCTCTGGGGCATCTTCTGGGTAGATTTATCGATTTTATTATTTTGCTATTATGAAGTGGCACAGTAATCATTGCAACTTGTATTTGATACAGTTTTCATTGATCCAATGTAGAAATGATATAGGACCTTCCCTGTTAGAGACATTGTGTGGAACTGTTTCATGAAAGTTTCATGTTTAATTCAGGCTTGGTGACTTACATGCAGTACTGAAAGACATGATGCAGTCTCCCAGAGTTTTGGTGTGTCTACAAGTGGTCCCAGTACTCCTAAAGTAAGAAAAAAACTTTTTTACATTAATTTTTATATATCTTTTAATTTTTATTCAACAATAGAGCATTTAAATTGACCTCTATGATTTTGAATTAAGTAAGTTATGTGCAAGTGTTTATTCTGTTACAGGAGTATTTCAAATGATTATCAGACAAGTGTATTATCATGATATTCAATATACTTCAGTGGTTATTTTGACAGACTCATCTTGTAACATCTCTGATTTTATATCCTGAATTTCACTAGATATTATACAAAAAAATCTAACACAAAACCAGCTTTCTCAAATGATACGTATAATAAGGTTTGGTTCATCTTAGTGCTAGATTTAACTGTTTCAGAGTTTACTTCAAGACTGTGTTGAGCCTTGGTGATTTTGAACTGTGTAGTCAACTGCTTCCAGTATTGTTGGAGAGGGTAGGGGTCCTGTATGGCATAGACCAGTATCGGAATGATATCAAAAAGTGGGTAAAATATGTGCATGTATGAATACTTCATTATTGGGGATGAGCCTGCTTTAAGGGTCATTTTAACTAAATGTCAAGAGTTTTGAAATACTACAAAATTGTCAGTATTATTTGATGACTAGTATCATTGTATACAGTGCAACAATATATGTGATGAACATTATTAAATGTTGATTAAATATACAGGTTAATCTGAAAGTGTTTGTATACTGCTATACATTTATGATATATCCTGACTGTTTTTTCATGAAAACCAGTATTTGTTTATTGTTACCTTTAATTAAAATTATTTTTTAGGATTTTTGCTGAACAGCTTCAAGCCTTGGTGAAAAAACACCCACAGCTTGTACTAGAACAGCACCCAGAAATCCTGGAATACGTTGGACAAATCAGAAATATCACAGACAAAGAGGACTTCTTTATTCACTTGGTATGATCTCAAATATCACAACTATTAAAATGAATAAGGACATTGCTCCTTGTAAATAGATAACACTACATTCTCATAGTTAGGTTTGTATTTAAAAAATAGACATGGTTATTTCCATAAATGATCATGTTTAGTGCCATAATTAATATTTTTAATGGAGTTAATTATATTTTTCATAATTTTAAAATCAAATTGATTTTTTTTTTAAATATGGGAATTCTCTGACTTTTTTATGGAAAGTATTTTTTCCAGAAATTTTAGAAATTGATTAATTTTTTTATATAGTTTTATTTATTTTCTTCTTTTCTTGTGAGTCAGGTTTGGGTTGTTGGTGAATATACCTCTGCAACATATGATCCCAGGTGCACCCCAGAGTTGGTATCCAAGACCTACGAGACTTTAGAAACTCTTCTCTATGAGCTCTCTGGACTGATGAGCGCTGTTGCCTCTGAAAACGAGGCACCGTATTCTGTCAGACTGTTAACTGTGATGATGTCAGCTGTTGCCAAGGTAATGTGTGTTATTATACTATTTGAACTAGTGGTTAGATAGATAAATTGTTTATTAAATGCCTCAGTTCACTGAAATATGTATGTATTATAGTTGCTTTAAACAGCCTGATGAAAGTAAAAGTATTTCCTGAATAAAGGTTTTGATCAAAGTTTAATTATAAAACTAGAGATAAAAGTAAAGCAAGTTTAATTTAGAAAGAAATTAAAGTTAAGCTAGTTATCTATGCTCTGTTATGCCATTTATGTTCTGTTTTTAAGTATAAGATCTTTATTTTGGCAACCTTTTGACTGTGCCCAAGTTCTTTTGTAGGTATTTTATGAACAACATATAAATCATATCATTTAACAATACATAAAAAAACAAGTCCTACTTTCCAGCTTGCTTCAAGGTGCCAGGACCTAATTCCTAGAGTCTTGTTGTGTTTGACTAAGGTGGGTCAGCAGCACAGGGATGGAAATTTGGAGGAGGAGAGCAAACAAGTCCTGCTGGCCAGGGCTAGTGAGCTGATTAATCTGTTAAAACTCCCAAAGTAAGAGAGAGCACTGGGCCCAAGCTAACAAATATTTTTTTTTGAAATTTGGTTAAGGTTTTCAGTGACAGTTTAAAAAAGGTTTTATTACCCATTTGTGCTATGGCTGTGGAGTATTTAATCAATTTGCCATTTTTTATGACTAAATGTGTTAAAAATGTATAATTGTCTCAGTCTGGAAGTCGTTTTTGTTTCACATTCTAATGAGAAGTATGAGTGTCATGGTAAAATCATATTTATGAAAGCAGCGTGACTGATGTTTTAAACAGGGTAATATACACATAATTACCTGTACTTGGGTACTTTTAAGAGGAGGATTTCAAAATAATTATATTTGAGGAAAACATTGTTTTGACTATTTCTAGGATTGAAGATTTGGAAATTTAGAAAGATCTTTGTTGAAAGCCACGAAACATCATTTACATTTCCCCAACAATTATACTTTTTTTAAAAAGCTATTTTAAATGCAATCACATTTTTTGCAGTGTTGCACCTGTGATTCTTAGCCCCTCTGCAGAGCTGGAAACTGGCAAGTGAGTACGAGATTGATTTACTGAAGTAAAATTGAATTTTTTTTTTTTACGTAGAGGAACTTTAAATCTCTCTCTCTCCTTCTCTCTCTCTCTCTCTCTCTGTGTGTGTGTGTGTGAGAGAGAGAGAGAGAGAGAGAGAGAGAGAGAGAGAGAGAGAGAGAGAGAGAGAGAGAGAGAGAACTGCTGTTATCTGTGCATGTAGTTAAAAGAGTCCATTTATTGTCAGTGTTTTTGTAATTCCTTCTATACTAGTGCTGTGAAGCCCAGGGTCATTGAATCTTTTTATTTTATTTCAGATGGCACACAGAAAACACTTCCCTTCCTGTCCTATTAAGGGCTTCCAATGGGATTTTGCAAAACATATTATGAACATTCAGATGAATTGGTTCAAGTGTTTTATCCAGAGGGACTATGCAAATGTTTAATGACCATCCAGTGGAATTATGCAGAATGTCAACATCAAAGAAAGTAAAATATCATCATACCCAATTGGTTCTGAAACTTATTTTGACAGACACGGCAAAAGGAAGTTGGACAAGTGTTGTAGAAAATACGAAAGTGGTTTAGCTGTTGAAAACCCCATGTGCAATATTCAGTCATTTTTACTATTTTATTGCATGAGAGCTTGCAGCATTTGTAGGATAAGCTGTTTAGTCAACATGGCTAATAACATTATTCAAGAAAGCACTTTGCAGGGCACTTCTTAATTTTGATTATTTTAATAGTAATGTATTTGAGACAGTATTATCAGGGATAAGATTTTTCCTACTATCAGTGGACTTCTGACTTTTGGGGAGCCAAAAACATCATTGGCTTTTTAACTATTTTTAAATAGTTAAAACCTCACTCCACTTTTTCACTAAATGGCAGTCTTATCATGTCTTGGACATTGAGTCAACTATTATGGTTCAAGTAATCATTTATTTGAATACATAATCTTCAGACACCAATGTTTACATGTTGCTGCGAGATGTGAAATCAACATTGAAACTTATTGTAAGACTTATAAAATAAAATATTTAATACATATACATACCCTCCCACATTTATTATCCAATTGATCAAAGGCCCAGCCCATTTTTGTGTTCTGCATCTCACATAAATAACAGTGCAACCTTACCTTCTTGAATAAACTTACTACTCTATTATGGCATACTCAAATACAACCATTCTGTATCTTTAAGGCACACCCATTGCAAGTGATTTGAACATATATACAGTTGTTTTAAACACCTGAAATTGCCATCTACAGTACAAAAAACATTCATTGCACTTATTAATCGTAATTTTTACCCCCTTCCTCCATGGTTAAAGCAACTTTTCTACACTCAAAAAGGAGGTTCTTTCCAGAAACACTGTCTCTATAAGCATCAATCCTGGTGTTGCTGAACCTAGGATTCACTCAGTTCCCCCAAGCACCTAGACGCGTTTCTATTCTGGTCCTACGTCAACACAATTAGGATGACCTTTTCAAGCATATTTCTCCATTGGTCAGCAAAACATGGTGTAAATATACAGTTAACAGATCTTTAAACCCATTATTTCTTTGATAGTCTGTATATGAAAGTAAATATGTGTAAACAGATTATTAGACCTTGCATTTTGCTTCATATTTACAATGTCAGTGGTCATTTTGATACCTTGGTCACATTGGTACATATATTTGAGTGTGTGTACATGTTTGTATTCTTAAAGCTTCTAGAACTGACTAGCAATATGGCATGGCATCAGAATGCACACCAATCCAGAGTCCATTAACACACCTGTTAAAGAAAATTGTTGATTTTTTTTCTCTTATTAAACCAATATTGAAAATAGCGCATATTTCAATGCACTTATCAACTAAACCCATTATCACAATATGAAGGTCAATTTGATCATGAATGTTTGAAAAAAGGGCATAATAATATAGCAGAGTTACATAACAGCTCCATTTTTTCCTCTTTTGCTTAATAGGGGTATTGGTGGTTATTTTTGCAATCAACTGGTCTATGTAGATAAGGCTGTACCTTTCACTGATGTCATTGAAGTCAAAGTCAGTGAATGCAATTTTTAAAATTGCCCAAGGTCTTTCAGTGAAAAGCATATTTTTCTCTGTATGCTTTGGTATAGTGCTAAACTGGCATCACAAGAGGCTTTCTTCAGGGAAATTAGAAATTTCCCCCACATCTGTCACAGGAGTGTCATTCATGGTAAAGGTCAGCTTGAATTTTACTCTTATCTTTTCCTGGAAGGAATTATGAAGTAGACACTTTATTAGATATATTCAATACAACCATCACTTATACCCTCAATAAAAAAGAACTAAGTGATGAAGATAAAGCTGAAATGCTAATACTGTTTTTAGTATAGTTTTGAACATTTACCAATTTTAATAAGTGCCAGAATAATCAAATGTTAATGTGACACTAATTTTCACAAAGAGAGCATATTAGAAGATTTCTTTGCAGAAATCTGATTCAGATTTCAAGGTTTTCTTTTTCAACTTTTGAAATAATTATTCTACTGGTTAACACTGCAAATACAACTTAGTGGATGCCACCTTAATGGGCAATCCACAATGAAGCTGCCGTTTACCTTGTGTGGATTGGCTAGCAGCATGACTTGAGTAATAGCAGAGGGAGGCAATATAGGATTGAAAGCTGGTAAATCTGTTGCTGAGGGAGGCTGCAGTTTCACCTTCATAGTCTGGAAATAAGATAAATGCAATGAGTATTTTATTCTTTCGTTTGTCAATATTCTGCATGGCAAGGAATATTAATTTAAAAACAGCATATCATTTGATACAAATAACAATAAATACAATGTTGATAATTTAAAGAAATTTCATTAAAAATTTAATAATTATTATTAAGAGAGAAAAGATCAAAAACTTTTGTCAACATTTAATAAAAATATTATTCACAAACAAAACAGTTGAATTGTACTATTACAAATATTTAAATTCACTAAATGTAAAGGATAATGTTCACTCAATGTTTTTCTTACTTTAGGTACCGCAGCCTGAAAACTTAATGCCTTTACAGCACTTGTGTTGGTACTCATGACGGACACCACCATTACCATCACATCAGCCCTGGGCCGATCCTTCCCAAAGTGAATTATTATTTTCAGTCCATTTTTATCATATGCGTTTAAAGGGGATGTTGATCCTATAGAGAGAGAGAGAGAGAGAAAAAAAGAAGGCTGTGAGTTAAATTCTATATGACACATAACTTTTGCACTCAAGCATGGAAAGCAAGTTAAAAATACACAGCTATGAGTTTATATGTGTATAATGGGTTACTACAGCCCTTATGAATGATTGACACTTGACTCAAGAATTTCACTAGCATCCTAACTCAAACAAGGACTAACAGAAAAGTGACATCTTGCCTGTGTTCTGAGAGACATGATAAAACATAAGATTGCATAAGATCAAGCTGATTTTCCAACTTGACCTGTGTTTTATGAATACTCATCAGTTCCATAACTTATCTCTGAAAGTGCATGACCATGACAACGGCAACAGTGACAATGACAAACGCAGGTGATGGCTGAACATACAGACACAATGTGTTCGTACATAAAAACCTACCTGGTTGTATAGACTCTAAAGGTACAAACACATCTGTCAAGGGTTGAACTGATGTATCCGTCCTTTTTGCTGGACTTGCCTGTCCTCCTGGTGAGGAAGGAGAGACCAGGGGTGCACCTGCACCGGACTTTTGCATCTGGTTTAAGGGAACTTTGACCGGTTGGCTGAAATGATGTAGCAACAGTGAGACAGAGTGAAGCAGAGTGAAGGCCAGAGAACCTTTTGTCTGGTCATCCCTCTTCAATATGTTTTAATGTATGTTTTCTGCTGTACATGACTTCATCACAATCTCTGTATGCATAAAAAATGGCAATATAAAATTGGAGTATTTCATAATTTTTGATAAGTACTTTCACAAGTGTCATCATTTAATCGATTTGTAAAAATTAAGATCACAAAATATAGGGTCATCAACCCCAAAAACCAAGCTGAAGGACTACAACATACATTTTTTTTTTTTGCTGAAATCAACCTACCTAGGAGGTGGAATAAAAGTTTTAACATTGGTATCAGCTTTGTGCTTTTGAAGAACAGTTTTTCCCAGCTCATCCAAATCTGCCATTGCTTTCTGTTGAGAAAGTTGTGGAGCAGCATTTTCTGTATGTGCGGTAGGAGCAACAGAAGAAGCCATGATGGGGGCCCCAGCTGTCTGGATAGGGTATGGCCTGTTCATGTTGGCTGAGGGTATACTACCTGTAGTGATGAATAGCAGGCCCCGGTTTCACAATAAAACTTAAGTCAGGTTCCTTGGCTAAGAACTTAATTACTAAGGTTACATGGTCACAAGAGCACATCTTACCCTATTAGGAGCAGAGTAACAGCACTCCTAGCCAACTAAGTCAGGGAACTTAATTTTTTTTTTTTTTTTTTGAAACTGGGGCCAGGAGTTATTCCAACCTACATTACATATTTTCCTATCTAGCCAAAGTGTTGTTTGATATAAATAACAAAGTGACTGATTCTTAGTAAAACAAAATGGATACTGCATATGGACGACTTATGAATTTAAAAAAACTGAAATAATACAATAATAATAATTATTATTAAATTTATTTGTAGTATAAAATCATTTAAAACGATCAGTAAACTTTACAGGGTTAAAGCGAACAGAATAAGATGAATAGAATCAGTACAAAATAAATGGCTAAAATATTAAGATAGTAAAATATGTAGTACATTGTAAAGATACAAAGCCAGTCAAATCAGTTATAAAACTTTTTTAAAACAAAAAACTTTAGTTCTTTTCAAAAATTGTTCTTGGACTCTACAGTTTTTAAGTACATTGGGGGAATGTTTCATTCATTAGGGTCATAGACCTGAAACCAACTTTACCTTGCATGAAACCTGAACTGGCATTTCCCTGTTGCTGCATCCTTGGGGGAGGAATCATCTGTGGTTGTTGATTGAAGTTTGCAAACGCTGATGAAGGATTGGTTGAAAAAGCTGTTGTCTGAAAAATAAATGTATGTAAATACAGGCATATGAAGTTGTCATGTTTACCCTATTCTTGCACTCATTATTCTGATCTAATTTATTTCATCAAATAAGCTTATCATATATATATCATGAAGATAATCACATAAGGAACAATTCATATTGAAGCTACAACATATGATATGAATGTAATAAGTAATGACAGTATGATCAAGTAATTTAGCATAAGGACTGATATTAGGAATTTTCAATTTGTACAAGAATACAAATTCTGTTATATAGAGTTAAGCGTGCACATACACTGCCTGTAACTAATGAAGGTTTGAAGAAGTCTCCAAACTGATTTAAATCTCCACTGGAACTAATACCAAGGTCTTGGGAACCAGCACCTGAGGCTTGGGTAGCACTGTTTGAACTAGCACTTATACCTGTAAAAAAATTTATTTCACAATCATCAATGTTTGTAAACATCAATGACCTATGGGCACAAGCCAGAGCACACATAACACTGTATATCAAACAAAAAGTTTCCCCAATTCAACATATTACACTTATGACATGGACTAGCTTTGATCCTACTTAAAAATTCAGCTTCAAGCACAGTTATTTACATGAACTAATCCAATAACTGTGGATGCATCTTCCTGTTGGTGGCAATATTATTAAACAGATGCACTACACATTACACTTGTTTATATTTATAAGAAATTGACAATAACATTTAATTATTTGATTGATCTACCAGCTTATCAAATCAATTCATTCTGCAGACATGAGCCTAGGGTCTTAAAAAAACCTCTGAACATTTATCATGGGACCCAACACCTAAGCGGCTGGGGGTCCGGGGGCTGCCTTAGAATTGAACTGAAAAATGCGGAATTCGGTGTTTCTGCAGAAAAAGCTCATGTCTGATTCTGGTAAGATACACAGGTTGGTTTACCTAAGGAAGCTAAATCTTCATCTAAAGTTGAGGCTCCAGAGGCAGGTGCTGAAGCAGGCAGTGCAGAGGAACTGGTGTCTCCCAGCATAGGGGTGTCAAAGTTCAGATCCAATAGATCAGAGCTGTTACCTAGATTAACATAACAGCATTAAACATGAACATTATTTGGCCAGAAATCTCTGGTCAGAAAAAGAAAATTAATGAAAAAAAGGAGACCAATTTACCATAACAGATTTTCTAAAAAATTGGGTGCAAATGTCTAAAATCTTGTAATGTTGCAAACGAAAGTCTCACATATTAGCTATTATTTTTGTATTTAAATGCTTGATTACTTTATTAGATGACAAAACTTAGTAAAAGTTAAAATTTTTTACCTCTCCTTCCTTTTGCGACAAGAAGTATATATCCAGCAGCATTACAAATGAATTGCACAAATATATTTTAAAATTATAATACTAAAATAAACTAAGTATACTCAAAGATGGTAGTAGATAACACAAAATAACCAAGAAAACATTCATTTCAAACAGTGAAAAGTAGATCATCCAACACTCAAACATGACTAATGGTTATTACGCCCAGCGACTGTGCTATAAACAGTTTTACCTTTATCTCCTGCTGCAGCCACCCCATTTTCCTGGGTCGTTCCATCTACCAATCTACGATACTGGCCCATTACACGACCAACTTCATCATTAGCTTTTAAAATCGCACCTGGAATTAGACAACTCTAGTGAATAAGTAGAAGAACTTACACCAAAGCTTGAATAATTTTCCACTAACTAGTTTACTGAAAAAAGTAGCATTTGACACTTTTTGCAATTTTTACATCACATCCCTACAATACAATCTGCTAAATATACAATAACTGACATTTATTAATGATGTTACTACAACAGTAAGAGAGATGACAAAGTGCCTTCAAGAGCTTACTTAGTCAGTCTTAATCTGCTGTTCAAAATAGTTAATCTATGACTTACTGATGCCTTCATCGTCTTTTTCATCTGCATCACTTGCAAGACGGAAAAGATTTGGCCGATGTTTGTCGAGTGTTTCATACAATTGCTGAAATAAGTAGTAGTTATGCAATATATTCTATAGAACAAAGCAAAATCAAACACACCTTTGTCTTATTACCAATCTTATTCTTACTCAAATTCAGTCATTTGTAATTAGGTATTCAGGAATAGCACTAAAATATTTGTCAGAGTCAGATGGACATAAGAACAGAATATTTAAAAAAAGGAAGTAATCCCTTATCAAAACAATGATGAATTAACAAAATCTTTCTTTTTTTTTTTCATTTCTGTATTGTTTTATTTTGCTTTTATTACAGATAATTATTTGTTTTACCTTCATTATTTCTATATCTGATGCAGTTCCCTCTCCTGGTTTATAATGTGATAACATATCTCCCAGGAGTTTTACATTATTGTTTACAGTTTCTAATTCTGTATGTCTCCTAGCCTTCTTTTCTGTTTTTTCCGCATCCTGTAAAAATTGATAAATGAATAAACGAAAAATCACCAAAAATGAAATATCATCTCAACTTACACCTCATTCTCATCTTCTCAATTTTTCAGCACAAACAAAATGCACAATCATTTAAAGATGTACTATGATTAAATTACATAAATATGATCTGGCATACAATAGATATTTGCAGTGTTCCATTTCTTTCAAAAACCTCACCTGTTTTACCATGTTTTTTATGAGTCTGTTAGCAGCCTGGAGATCCTCGGGATGTTTACTTGACAGCAGCCTAGATAACAGCTAAACACAAACCAATGTCATTTTTGTTATTTGGCTTGACGAGAACAAAGGGTTTATAGAATCCAGGTGCACAACTCAGGGACAAGACAACCTGGTAACTATGTGACATTTTATAAGAATTAACAATACAAAAAGCTAATAAAAAGTTCCCACTATTTATCCGTAAGTCTTCAAAATTGCTTTAGTTAAAAAATCGGAATGTAATAAATAATAATAATTTTGTCCTATCATGTGGTTCAAATGGACAGCTGATGATAGACCCTTATTTTTTGCATGGAATAGAAAAAGGAAATAAAAATTAAGCTTAAAAAATGCCACAGAAATCTTACCTTAGACTTTTCCTCATCATCAAATATGCTATTATGTGGTCTTGGTGGTGGAACAGGAATATCCTAAATTGAATAAAATCACTACTGAAATACATGTCATAAATGGTTTTCCATTTTCAAGTTGATTGCCAAATGTATATCAACAATGTCACTTTTATTTTCATGTATACCAATGTGTTAAGTATTTTTAACATTGCATAAATATGAATGATATATAAAAATTAAAGAAAAATAAAACCTCATGCAATAATACCCATTTCACAACAAAAAAGTACAAATCACATTTTTTCATCTACATTAAATAGACATTTCATGTATCACAGCCAATGTATTTGTCAAAGAGACAAATGCATCAAGATAAACAAAGTAAGTCATATATGTTAATTTATGCCAATGCTCTAAATCTCAAGTCACATAAAATAAAAATATTGAGCTCTAATCACAATTGTGTGAATGGCCTACAGTCAAGAGAAAGGCAAAAGAAACCAATTTTGGTGAGTAATGAAATCACAGACAAAAATTCAAAAGTAGTTGATATACAAAATAACATAAAACATCTTAAATAGGCATTAATCTTGTAAATAACAATTTAAAAAAAAAGGGATAAAAAAGCTTTGTAATATTAGCAACTGTAGCAACATGTATTAAACTTTGATCTAATTGATTTTCATCAGTACAAACCAGTGCTTTTTCCATCAATTACATACAGTAAATACTATTGAACTGCATTCATCATTCTTGAAATCAAAATTTTTCAAACATACCTCCTTGTCAATATATACAGGATCTTCTTTCACAATCCCCTGTCTTTTTAACATCTCGTATGCTTCTGATATTTTTGCTTCATGTCGCAGTCCAACTGTCCAGCTGTATATTAATTCAATACATTTTGTTTTGACTTTATCCGTCGTCTTTGTACCTAAATACTGCATAAAAAGAAAACATTTCTTAACACTGCATACTTTTAGATTCAGCATACAGCCATGCCAATAAATAAATTATAAATAGATGGTCCTACAAGGGCACAAATGAGTAATTAACTGCTACATTTAAATCTTATTTTTAAAGGAGGCAAAGCCAAATTTATAAGAGAACTTTTATTTTTCTGACATGATATAAAAAGATTCAAATTTAATGCTCACCTTTGGAGAAACAACTTTAATCAATTCATTCAAAAATCTGAACTTCCCAATTTCTTGGTGAAACCTCTTGCCACAATTTTTTACACATGCTTCTAAAACCTGAAATGTTGAGCAAATACAAGACACTTTTTAATGTAACAAAAATTGCAATATTCATTACTTTAGATGTTGACATATAAAAAATTAACCACTGCCTGAGCTCATACCAAACGAAATAAAAGAATATTGCCAAAATCACAGGAGATAAAATAATGAAATCTAACAGTGGCCTTTTGATGTACAAGTGTTAGTGGCCTGAGGGGCTGGGCATATGACAGGTCAGTTGGCTAGGTATCTCCTTAGGTTCATGACCCATATATGAAATATAGGACACTAGAACTGAGATTTAATCTCTTCCATATCTGGAACCAGGCCCTCAAGCATATACCTAGCCTTCTGACCTGTCACTTGGTCAGCCCATCAGGCCATTGGCACTCATTTCCCTGTTGGAGCCCAGTGGTGCCTGGCACAATGTTGGATCATTGCTGCATTACAACATTAGTCCAGTATTCCTTTTTTTCTCTTCTGTAACATGACCCACTAGATGGATCAAAACATTTGCTCTGGCAAAAGCTGGAAACCTTTCTACTTGGAAAAGAAACTATACATTAATGAGTTTCCTCTCCATTAAATTATAACTAAATTTGATGAGGAAAATGTCAGCAAAGTGAACTTTGTGCAAACATAGAAACTATATAATACTCTACCAGGTAAGAGTAACATAGCTACATGAAAGCAATGTTTTTCATGGAAAAATGTCAGTAACTTACTGTCAGAGCATAGAGAGCTTCTCTTTCTTGTGGAGACTGTATTTTATGTGCCAACAGCCTCACAGCGGTCATGGGACCATCTAGTTCCTGGTTCACCTGGTCACAGAACCCATTCATAAAGTCTACTTCAACCTCCCTGTTTAGAGGACTGGTAGCCTTGTCTGTTGAAAGACAAACAATACTCATGACCAATATTGCCATATTTTTTTTTAATCTAATAAATAGAATATATTTAAGGATCTACATGATCAGTGCAAAAATGAAACAGAAAAAGGTTAAAATAGCAACCCAGTGTGAAGTTTTGTAGTCTTGGGCATCATAACTTACAGTTACTGATGTTGAAAAACTTACAAACTGCCTATTGGACATATGAGCAATATTTCTGGTCTTTATATGAAATAAACTTCTTGGATCTATGAGGCTGTCATTTTTGAGGGATTATGAAGGGGACAGTTCCATCCATGTCTTAAGTACTATCATTTAAACACAAAACATATAAATATCTTTAAAACACACACAAAAAAAATGTACTGATGGCTTTAACAACAAAAATTTTATTGGGTGGAACAGAATTTCAGAAATTTCCACTGGGAAGCTGCTATTTTGCAACAAATATAATTTGCAGCCAAATATAATTTTTCTTGAAATTTCTTCACTTCTCCCTTGCCAAAGAATCATGATCCATAAACCCATCTTAAATGAAAACAATAAGTAAACAGTGAACTGAAATAAAGTACAGACTTATTTAGGGTAAACCTCATGATTAGTTTAACATTGAATTATCTCATCTTTACTTATTTCAGGCACAACTGCTATCAAAATCATGACAGTTTTCATCATAGTGAAAATTAGTGGAAAGGAAAGGAATAATTTTCCATGTTACGGGGGAAATATAGAAGCAAATGTTGAAACAAATGCTTAATAATGCAGTCATACTAAAAAGCACAATATAGCACAATACAAAGTAACTCAGCACAATGTACTTCATAAAATGACTCTGGTTGTGAGTAAACACTGGAAACAGCCATTCAAAAGAAAATAGGGCGATATCATGTGAAAGAATATATTAACATTGTTAACAGCTCACTGGCAATTTAGGTGAAGTTAAATAAATGATTTTAAAAATCAGCACTTGCAGGCATTTGCCTACCATGATAGGATTAAAATGTTGTGACAGCAGATTTTATCTAATGTGCAATACAGATGGTAAGAAATGATAATTTCCATGTTCTTGCTGTGCTAAAGTCTCCCCTCCTCCACCCCC